TTCAGTCGGATATAAAATTTGTCATGTAACAAGTTAAGATTGGATTTTGTCATCTCTATTCCTTTGATTTTAACAAGTTTGAGTTAAAGTGGAAACCATTCACTAAGGCTCGCAGGTCAAATGTAGTGAAACTAGTTACCTTGTCGATAAGTTTTAAAATCTCTAAATTATTTGAGTATTCAATAAATTTCCTCTTTCTTACACTCATCTTGTTCCAGTGTCAAAACGTGCTGCGCAGGAAAAAGTATCATGGATCAAGGAGTAAGGTTGAATAAAAAACAACTATCAGAAGAGGGAGCAGACCTCAAACAAACCTTATTAAAATGTTGCTCAAGTTTCTCATTTGTCAAATTGATGCAAAATTGTTCAAAAAAAACAAAACATGATTAGTAAGCATCAGAAGCAACATACACTTGAAACCTATCAACTCTCTTGCGTAACAGAACGTATATTTATTAACAACAAAAAAACGAAGAATAGTCTTTTGGAACTGAAGAGTCTGCTTCTTCTCCTTTTGCAAATTCTATGTCTTAACTAGATGAAGAATAGCTGCCACAACTCGAAATATTGCTTCCTGAAAAGAAAGTGATATCAACTACACTTATATATACACCGATATCGCAACTTTTACTGGTGAAAGTAAAAAGAAAAAGTACCTGCTCCTCTAAACTTATCCCAACAACGTCCATTGCTTCTACTCCTTCGGATCATCCATCCCTTCCAACTCGATACAACCAGATTGATTCAGATAATGGAATTTTCTTGGATTGTCTAATTTTAGCTTCCTAATGACCTGTCAAATAATAAATAGAACGGAAGATGAGAAACATAGGGACAATCATTTCAGAAATATGGAAGAGAAGAAGCCATATGTACTTCTCTGATATGGTGCAGCACAAAGCATGTAAAAACAGTGATAATTTCTCTCACCATCCGACACCTAACAGATGATATGATCCAAAATGTATTCATCTCCGAATGGACGAAATTCATATTCTATATTCCGACCAGACAACGTTCTCTACGAAGAAAAATATTGTGATAATCTGTCTCACGTTTGAACGATGATCCTTGTATCCATGGAATCATTGTTCCATCGCGTCTACGGCATGCCATCAACTGAGGTATTATTCACACCTCAACTTTCATTTTGGTGCATTCTCACCTCTCAA